GCATCGGACGTTTATTGCCAAACCGACGACGTTCCTCTGCTTCCACTGCGATGCCATAGTTCACAACGCCAACTTCCTCGCTCTTGTAAAACCGACGTCTTGCTCTGCCGGAGCTGTCGCTGCATCACCCTAATTCAATTTTCGGTCTCATATCCCTTCCGGCTTCCGCACTCCACCGCCTGGGCTTTTTTTCAGAGCAAGAGATGGACTCGATCTCCTGATGCTCGTCCTCCAATCTGTCTGAATCGGGGAGCTCGACATTGAAAGTCGTCCTTCACTATGATGAGACGATGGACCAGCAGCGAAGGCCGAGGAGCAATAGCGCGGCTAGATCTGGACTTTGCGAGGGAAAGATCAGGGTCGTTTTCGCGAATTGGTGTAGGAAGCTGGGGGTGGACGGGGACCTGGTGGAGTCGAGGGGGGTACAAAGTCGAAGGTAAGGTCTCCAGATCTGCTACCATCATTCAAAGAAGCTTCAACCTAATCTGCAGCAGTCGCCATTTTTTATTTGTTGGTCATCGGATTTAGATTTATGGGTGTGCGACGAGAACTCATTTGGATGGAGTAAGAGGAATGGTCTTGGGCCACATCCTTGTCTCCATAACTCCATCCAATCGATTTTGGGTTTTTGCAGATGATGGAGCAAAGCAAATAGGGACGGTTGCGGAGGGTGGAGATATTTGTTGGGTCTTTTTTTTTGTGCAAGTAGAGATTTTATTAAATAGTCTTTCTTTTAATTATTATTTTTATGTTCATTAAATTTATTTTTTATTTATTTTTCATTATCTACGTAGCAGTGTAGTTGATGAAATGTCGCCAATTCATCAAAGCTGTCAATCCAGTCAGCATGTAAATTCACACCATTAAAGAATTAGACGGAAGTGGCTATAAGTGGTATTTCTCCAAAATTGATTATTATTGGCAAAAAGATGAAAGTTTGCCTTAATTCTATTTCATCTTTGCCCTGTTTCTCTTTCTTCCTGCGTCTTCTTCCCTGTCCTCTTCCTTTCTCTTTCCTTTTCCAACTTCTTCTCGCTGAAATTAGATCTCTGACCTCCTCTTCTCCTCTTTCTTTTGAAATAGTAGATGGAGCTTCCAACGAAAATAAAAATAAGAAAAAATCCAATTCGTTCTTCTTTTCTGACAAAATGGTTTTGATTTTGGTAACCGAGGTTTAGCAGTTCGCCCGTGGAAAGAGGCGGCGACGGGTCTCCGAAAGTTGGCGAATCATCGATCTTCTACGGCGGCGGCGGCAGTACCAGGTCCAGGTTGCATGGTCGGAAGTCTTCACTTCTTCTCTTTCCTCCTCCAACTTCTCACATTTGCATCCCAAATTTGATTGCAATCTCGTCCGATGTGCCTTTCTCCCCTCAGCCTTCACTGTCCATTGCCTCTCTTTCAGCCTTCACTACTCCCGGATCTATGTTCGATTTCCAAAAACGAGGCCGGCGGCGGCGGATGCATGTAAGAGCAGTGGCCACGAGGCCGTGGCGGCGCTGCGTGTACGACGTGGAGAGGCGATAAGGGAAAGCAAGTTTTAGATTTCTTTTGCTCATCCACTAAGTATGGTGTAAATTGCATGCGCTGGAGTAGGACCAAGCTTGGGTTCTAATGTGTTTGTCCTAGGTTTAGCAAGTTGGAAGAGGCCGCCCCTAATTTTGATTGAATTTTGTTCTTTTTAATTGATAGGAAACAGAGCATTGAAGAATAGAGAGAAGAGTTTTTCTGGGAATAAGAACTGGTAGAGAATCGATTATGGTAGGGACTGGGGAGGGTAAATGGTGTCGCCAAATCGATGGCAGTATTGATATTTAGGGGTGGCAGTCGTTCGGTTTCGGTTTAACCGAAAACCCGGTTATCGGTTAAACCGAGCCACCTCCTATAGGTTCCGACCACCGACCGTGAGATGTGTCACGGTTAGCCGGCCAACCGACCGATCGGTTTCGGTTTAAGGCACGGTTAACCGGCCAACCGGAAAATGTAGCTTTAAAAAAAAAAAAAAAAAAAAAGAAATATTCTGGACCACTCAATCCTAATCCCTCTCCACTTCTCTCGATTCTTCTTCTTCCTTTCTTCCAGAGAAACCCGCCAGCCCTAATCCCTCTCCACTTCTCTCGATTCTTCTTCTTCCTTTCTTTCAGAGAAACCCGCCGGCCCTATCCGGCTCACTTCTCTCGATTCTTCTTCTTCCTTTCTTCCAGAGAAACCCGCCGGCCCTATCCCTCTCACTTCTCTCGATTCTTCTTCTTCCTTTATTCCAGAGAAACCCGCCGGCCCTATCACTCTCACGAGCCAGATTCAACGGCGAGCATCGGCGTCGGCGGTCTCAGAAGAGGAAGGTTCGTTGTTGTCGTCGTCGGTTTTGAAGGAGGGGAGAGGATTACCGCCTTTGATGACCCACCCGAGGGCGAAGAAGGAGAGGCCGGCGAGAATAGCCGAACCCCAGGTTTGAGCGCCGACGACGATGGTGGTGGCGAACGAGGAGAAGGAGAAGGAAACGGCTCGGAGTGCCGGCCAGCCTGCTCTTGACGACGATGGCGGAGATGAAGGAAGCAGAGGCGGGGAGGGGCGTTTGGACTTTGGAGCAGCAGGCGCGGAGGTCGGTGGTGAGAACAGAGAAGGGGAAGGGCTGGTCGGTGGTGACTGGTGAGAAGGGGGGAGATGAAGGGAGGAGATGAAGTGGAAGCGGCGACTGATTTGGGGGAGGAGTCTTAGGGTTAGTGGGGGCGTGGGCGGCGTCGTTTAAGGGGGAAGGGCAGGGGTCGGTTAGCCGGTTAACCGCCGGTTTTCGACCCCGGTTAGTCGGCTAACCGGGCCCCTGATAATCCCCACCGCCAACCGACCGCCCTCTTCGGAATCAGTTTTTCGGCTAGCCGAAAACCGGTCGGTTCGGTTGAAACCGACCGGTTAGCCGCTAACCGGAAAATCGTCTGCCAGCTCTATTGGTATTTGCCTTAAATATCACATGTTAAATTAAATACCACATATATAGGATTTAGCCAAACGAGATTATTAGTCTCAATTTTCATAGAAATAAGTAAATAACACAGAAATACCACTTCGACCATTAATAATAGACTATTTCAACTTTAAAATAAGTTTAATACCTTATTCTAGCCCGAACTATAATCATATAATCAATTTTGGCCAGTGGTTTGAGAAATTAACATCTTGACATGGCCGAAAACATGGTTTAACCGTTTGTTTGGACGGTCAACACCATTGACCGTTAGTCAACTGTATAGGTCACCGCCATTTCAACACCAAAGAAAAAAAATTAGAATTTCAATTTTCTTTTATTATTTCTTTTACCTAATTAAAGAAAACAAAAAACAAAAAAATCGACCACCCCTCGCCTCTTTCCTTCTTCGACCAAAACCAAAAAAATCCCTAATACTAATCATTCTTCTTCTCCCTTCTTCCCCGACGAGCATCATTCTCCGTAATTCAAATGAGCCATTGGAAGCACCCACCATATTTTCCATGAAGATCTTCCCTTTGAAGATCGCTTCCACCTTCAAGGTCAGCCGGCAAAGCTCCACCAGCGCCTCCCTCACCGCGTTGATGTCGTAGAACACCCGTTGTAGCCCGTCAAGAAACCTGAACATCGTCGCGAACTCGCCATCCCACCGAATGGAGTCGGGAACAGGACCGACCAACTGGTTCCTGCCAAGTAGTGCGGGGATCCGTCCGTAGATCTGGTTGTTGTTTAGTTCGAGATGATTCAAGCACTCCAATTTGGAAACCGAGGCCGGGATTTCCCCCGAGGTTTTGTTGTCGGCGAGCTTGAGTACCACGAGGCGGCCGACGTTATCGATTTGGGAGGGGATCTGGCCGAAGTGGCTGTTGCAGACGAGATCCAGGAAGCGGAGGTTCGAGAGCGAAGAGATGCAGTCTGGGATCTCGCCAGAGAGGCTCTTCCAGTCAGCGACGATGAGCGTGGTGAGCTGGTCGAGCTTGCAGATGGCGGGGAAATGGTCCCGATCATGTAGCCGGAGGTCCGCCTGACTTTTGTGAGGATTGGATCCTCCGTCTCGCCGCGGAGGTTGATTTCAGTGACGCGGCCGGTGGTGGGGTCGCAGCTGACGCCGAACTAGTTGGTGAATCAAAAACAAAGAAGAGGGAGCTGGGGTATTGCATACCGAGAGTGTGGACTAAGGGTTGGGAAATGGATCGTCGGGGAAGAAGGGTTGGGTAACGATAAGGCTGTGTGGGCTGAGTGAGGAGAGAGAGAGAGAATGGGGATTTTATTTTATTATTTTATTAAAGGGTTAATTGCATGGTTGGTCACTAAAATTACAAAAAGAGTTCATGTTTGGTCACTCTAAATATTTAAATCCATTTTTGGTCCCTAACTTTACAAAACCCATCATTTATGGTCACTCTCCGTTAGCTGCCGTCCAACGTCGTTAAATGCGTCCGTTTAGTGATGACGTGGCTGACAGATTCGACTAATCAGCACTTTTTAACCCAAAAATTGACTGACCCGACCCGCCACGTCATTTAAACCCGCCATGTCAGCTAAACCTAACCAAACCAGACCCGCTAACTAAAACAAACCCGACCCACCAACTAATCTACCCACCTTTGACTAACCCCTCTCATCCTCTCGCACCACTTCTCCTTCCTCTCATTCTTCGTCTCCCTACCACCCAAAACACAGGCCCAAGCAAAACCAAACAAAATGAGAAAAAGAGCAGTGGAACAAAAGCTCCGATACCACTTCCACCGCTAAACGTCAAAAGATTCAGGCCACATCCTTGCTGCTGCTGGCCGGCAGACTGGTTTCTGTTGATCGCTTTCCTCTCTCTATATAGCATCGGAGAAATCGGCGTGGCCGTGGTGGAATTTGATTTGAATCTACAAAATTGGAATCCGAAGCAACTGACTAGAAACATAAATTTGAACTTCAATACATTGGGTCTTCTAGGTACGAAAACTGCTGAATGTAATGGGCAACCTTGAACAGCTTAAAGAAAGAAACTTGCTTTCTGAGTGGATTACAACTTGCGAAGATCAATGTCGGCCTTCTTAGCGACGGCGTCGAGGCCATTCTTCTCGATGGTCTTCAAAGCCTTGGTGGACAAACGGAGCTTCACCCAGCGCTTCCCTGCCTCCCACCAAACCCTCTTGTACTGCAAGTTCACGAACTGTTGCGTCTTGGTCTTGTGGTCGGAGAACGACACCTTGTTTGCCCTGTTCGCTTTCTTCCCTGTGAATGGACAGATTCTCCCTACAAAAATACCCAAAACAACAAATATCAATCAGAATCAATCGACCATTTCATTTCCCCCCAATCTACTTAGACCGAAGCAGGAATGGCAGACTCACGGGCGACAACGGGCTGGAGAGCCGTCTTGAAGGGTTGGAAGGAGCAGGGAGATTCAGAGGAGATGCGAATGCCGCTCAATTGGGAAGTGAGGGAGCTGAGGTCTGTAACGGCGGCGGAATTGGAGAAGGAAGAAGTGGAATTCCCGATCAGAGTTGGAGAGGAAGAAAAACGTAAGGGAGGAAGGCGGCGCGGGATGGAGGCAGATGGATTTGTCTTCGATTAGGGTTTTAGTCAAAGGTGGGTAGATTAATTGGTGGGTCGGGTCAGTTCTGTTTTAGTTAGCGGGTCTGGTCTGGTTTGGTTAGAGGTTTGGTTAGGTTTAGCTGACATGGAGGGTTTAAATGATGTGGCGGGTCGGGTCACTCAATTTTGGGGTTAAAAAGTGCTAATTAGGCAAATCCGTCAGCCACGTCATCATTTAACGGACGCCGTTAACGGCGTTAGACGGCAGCTAACGGAGAGTGACCATAAATGAACGGTTTTTGTAAAGTTAGTGACCAAAAACGGATTTAAATATTTAGAGTGACCAAACATGAACGCTTTTTGTAATCTCAGTGACCAACCATGCAATTAACCCTTTTATTAAATTATTATTTTCCACATGGCATCCACGTCAGCGTAGCATGGTGATTCACTAACGGTCAATGATGTTGACCGTCTAATTTGACGAAAATTCACGAGTCGGGCCAATTAAATCTATATGGTGTACAGTTGATGCCAGAATGTTAATTTTTGAAATCACATGCCAAAGTTGATTATATGATCATAGTTCGGGCCAAAATTAAGTATTAACCCTTAAAATAACTCATTACCCAATCACCCATCCAAACGATCCCCTCAAATTAAATGGATTTGATCTAATTTTCAATGAAATGGATTGAATTGGATAGGATTCATTGATTTTCTCACCTATGACCTGATCATACAAAAAATGAATATTAAAAATTATGAACTGAATTGATATTTGTACGGAAGCGAAGCGGTCTGTTGCACAAAGTGATATCCTGTGTTGCATACTTCTAACCCATTCGAATGGTAGTTACTAGTTACAGCGAAGGCAATTTCTTGGTGAAAGCACCTTTCTTGGTTCTCCGAACTACCTAGGTACGATCAGCGCGGCATTACTTTCCGGGAAGATCGGACGGGAAGAATTCATAATTTCAGAAAGGAGTCCGTAAGCTGTTCGACAAAATGCCTAGCCAAGACGCAGCGACACCACGCCCGACCGAAGAGCTGCCTGGTATTTCCCAAAACTGCATATTTCAATTTTATACAACTCTTTCATCCGCACACAAATCATGGCTGTTACAATTTCTCTCCCTATATACGTGTAAGAAGAAAGAAATAAGAAACCAGACCGACAATGGAACGAAAAAAGAATGAAATGGGAGGATGAAATCTCGAGTATCTACGTTCATGAACAATCACCGGGTTCTACAGAGTCGTCGTTGATGAGAAGGGAGAAGAAAATGTAGATACTGGCCGTGAGAGGTGATGGCACGAACACTTTGGATCGTGGATCGCCATTTTTCTCGTCATATCAAGCTTAGTGCAGTAAACGCAATACCTGCCTCCAAACTCATCATAGCTTTCTTCTTCTTCCTCGTCGTCGTCATCGAGGTCTGTGTTGTACTCCTCGGTCATGTCTTCCGGCTGAACCCTTCTCCAGTCATTGCTCGTGTAGTATCTGAAGCCGCAAAGAGGAAGAAGCACCATGAGGATTCTGTCGATGTGGTCGTCGCACCACCTGGTTGCTTTCTTGCTAAAAATCAATGGTGCCATCACAGTTGCTGCAGCAGCTCCAAACCCTATTCCAGGTATTATGAACTCCCAATCGAGGCTTTGTTGCCCTGGTCCCTGCTTTCTCCCTGAAGGAGGCGGGGTGTTGCTATCTGAGCAGGATTTCATCAAAGGACTGCCGCATAAACCTGGATTACCTTGGTATGAAGTGTTGTCAAATGTTAGGAACTGCCTGCCTGTAGGGATTTTTCCGAGGAGATTATTATTTGACAGGTTTACGAATGAAAGGAATGTCAGCTCTGTGAGTTCCTGCGGGATTTCGCCACTGAGCTTGTTATCCGAGAGATCCAGTGACTCCAGCTGTGAGATGTTGCCGAATACTGCTGGAATCTGACCAGTGAAACCGTTGTGGGAAAAATTGAGGATGTAAAGTGCATTCAATTGACCCACGGCTGCAGGTATTGGCCCATCAAAATTGTTGCTTGAGAAATCAACTGAAGTGAATACTGTTAGGACCTTCACCAGTTCCATTTCAAGGCCCTTGCTGGTAACTGTTATGGAATCTTGATAATACAATTGAGTCAACTTGAAAGGTTCGAATTTGAGGTGATTTTGCGTTTCATTTCCATCTCCAACCATCATGGCTTGCCATGTAGCTAAGCAGTGACCATTTAGGGGACCAGAAAATTTGTTGAAGGCTAGGTCGACAATCTGAAGCTTTTGCCAAGTACCAGGAAGATGTGGGCATCCAGTGCTTCCATAAAAGAGGTTGTTCCTCAGGATAAGGACACGCAAACTGGAATTGTTCTTCAGAAGACAAGGGAAGACATCATCAATCATGTTGTTGCCAAGGTCTAACACTTCTAATGCTGTGCAGTTACTCAAGGACTTTGGAACCCTCCCATTTAGCTGGTTCAAACTGAGATCAAGAGTCTGCAATGAACATGAAGCTTGGAATGTGTCAGGTATGCTTCCGTGAAGCTTATTGCCCCTCAGGTTTAAGACAGCAAGCGTCCCAATGTTCTCCATTAAACAGCTTGGAATTGTACCGGTCAAGGTGTTGTTTGACAGATCAAGGACTTGGAGATACGAAGCATTGCAAATACTTGCAGGGATAGCTCCGCTAAGGCGATTGTTGGACAGTGAGAAGAAGAGTGCATAAGGAAGGTAATTGCTGATGTCAACTGGAATTGAGAAATTGAAAAAATTGTTGGAGTAGTCCACGTAGATCATCGAAAACGATGATTGAATGATTGGAATCTCCCCTTCGAGCTTGTTATGATGCATGTCCAAGACACCAAGATTGGGAAGAGAAATCGGTACCTGGAAATCCACTAGGTTGTTGTGTGAGAGATTGAGATGGTATATTGTAGTTGTTTCCAGAATCCAGCGAGGTACTACCCCATTGATATTGTTTCCTGAGAGGTCTAGCCTGGTTAGCCTTGATTGGTTTCCCAGCTCGGGAAATTGGCTCAAATTGCTCGATGCCAGGTTCAATATGCCGAACTGAGGATAAATGGATGACAAGGTAGAGTTGTTGTTGCCACTTGCATCCACGGTCAAGTTGTTGTATGAAAGATCAAGAGTAGTGAGATTCTGGAGCGCCTGAATCCAGTTCAGCTGTACGGTTCCATTGAATCTATTGGATGAAAGTACAAGGACTTTCAGTGTTTGGACTTCAAAGATGGAGCGAGGGATGGGACCTTCCAAATGGTTGCTGCTCAAATCTAAAGTATCCAGAATCGAAGAAGAAGCATTTGAAAACTCTGGAGCCGGTCCCTTAAGTTGGTTGAAGGAGAGTTGAATCTTTTGCAGGGTTGGAATGGAGAACAAAGATGGAGGGATGCTTCCGTTGAAAGAATTGTGCCTGAGGTCAACATACTCAAGTTTCTGAAAGCTTCCCCATTGAGCCGGTATATCACCTGCCAACTGGTTGTAAGATAAATCCAGATGCACTAGACTTTTCGACAAGCCAAGTGATGGAATTGGACCTATGAGATTGTTGGACGAAAAATCCAAGTAATTCAGTTGAGCCAGATTTTCCAATGACCTAGGAATTGTTCCACTGAAATTGCATCGAGAAAGCTCTATTCTTGACAAGTTGCCAAGATTTCCCAAGGATGAAGGCAGCTTGCCTGAGAAGTTGGTGTCGGTGAGCAACAGAGTCTGCATAGAGTAGTGATTCTGAAGAAAATCTGGAATCTCCCCTTCAAGCAATTTGTTATTCGACAGATCAAGAATCTCTAGGCTTGGAATTTGGAGTATCTTTGCAGGAAACTTTCCTACCAGCCCGCAAGAGGTTAGACGCAAGATAGTCAAGTTTCTGAAATCTGCAAAGAAATCAGGAAATGGATGGGAGAAGTTGTTGTTGTCCAGACGAACTACCGAGAGAGACTGAAGGTCGGAGAGCGAGAAATCAATAGGGCCTGAAAGGAGGCAGTTGGACATGCTCAATACTTTGAGATTCGGCAACGAAGAAGCTATGGCTCGGCACCACTCAGTCCCGTGCGTTGATATGTTCACACCATCGAGACGGAGATCAGTTAGTTGCTTGAGATTCTGAACAAGTCCAGCGAGATTGGGGTTCTCAAGTTTCAGGGACGGAAGGCCCAGGAAAGAAAGCGTCGAGAGATCGAGGCTGACCAAGCTACTCATTTGAGAGACGGCGGATGGAATTTGCCCGTAAAACCCAGCACTAGACAGATTGAGATGTCTCAAATTGGTGAGGTTGGACACCGCAGTTGGAATCGTTGTGCTGAAGCTGTTGAAAGACAAATCCAGGACCTGAAGATGCTGAAGACTGAATAGAGCGATGGAGTTGTCAAGTCCGCCGGTGATGGATTCATTGCTCAAGTTGAGGCCAACAACACGAACAAGGCCACCCACTAGATCACAAGTTATACCAAGCCAGTTGCAGCAATCGATGCTCGAATTCCAGCCCGCCAGATTCCCAGAGAATGATCGGCTGAAATTGAGGCTCTGCTTTAATTGGAGTAGAAGAGATTGCTGGTCTCCCGGGCATTGGCCGGAGACCGGAGTCACATGGCTGGCCACAAGTATCGATATAAGAGGCATCAATAAAACCCAAGCGAGCTGCTGCGGTTTCATTGGAGGAAATCACGAGGCGCCCACAACATAATACAAAGTGGAGGAGGTGATCAATCTGGGTCTGCAGAAATGAAGAGGGGAGAACATTTGGGTTGATTTAGCTGCTGCCGATCTAAACAGCACAGCAATTTGGGTTCTTTCTTTGCAGGGGTAGGACGGAGAAGGAGAAGAAGAAGAAGAAAAGGCCAAGGCAATAGATTGGACTGGTCAGAAATGAAGGGCGAAGGAAAGAAAGTAAACCGAATGCGTATGCATCTGCGCAATCATGTCCGGGTTGAGGACAGGTTTAGATCTTCCAACCTCCGAGCTTATAGTATTCTTTTCTTTTCGGGCCCCCATTTATTTTCTTAAGTACGCGTTTCTTTGTCAGTTTTTGTTTAATTGTTTTTGTTGACTTCTTCGCGTTGGGTAGAGCAGCGAGGGTAGCACTCTGGTTTGAACGGTTGGATATTGCTAGGAAAATCAGACCAATGACTTTGACGTTTTTTAACTACTACGTTTACGTTGTCTCCGGTCTGCGTAGCTCGGCCGACTAGGTAGGGAGAAACTGAGAATGGGTTACTGTGATCACTCAATGTGCCTACCAAAATCTATACTCTTTATTATTTTTATTTTATTCTATTTTTAAATTGTCGATCGAGATTAGATTAAAGATACTTTTAAAAATTAAAACAATATCACATTTGATTTCTATCGTTTTAAAAAATAATTTATGTATATTATACTCAAACTTTACTACAACCTCATTCTCCATTGCCGTTAACATCTCCGTTGATGGTTCCCTTCCTCCCGCTGACGGCCACCCTCGCCAAACGATGCGACCACCCTCCCACTGCCGTCCACCCTTGTCCACCGCTGGTCATCCTCGTCCACCTTGTCGTTGTCCTCCTCTCTCTCTTTCTTTCTCTCTCTGAGAGACGGCAGGGGAAGGGTGAGAATCGTGAGATGCTAATGGCAGTAATCTCTCTCTCACTCTTTCTCTCTCCTCAATCTATTCATCTAGGTCAGGAGAACTTAAAAACCTAGATTTCGGTTTTTTGTTTTTTTTTTTGTGTATTGATTCATTGTTTTTTTTTAAGTGGTATCTTTTGTTTTTCATAATGGTATTCATTTATTTATGCAGTAGTATTGTTTTGATTTCACAGTAGTAGTGGTATTGGTTTATTTTGGTATTGGTGTGACTCTTGCAATGATAGAGATTATTTATATTGGTAGTTTTAGTGTAATGATAGAGATTGTTTATATCTGCAATAGTATTGGTGTTTTTCAAAGTGGCATTGATTCCTTGGTTTATTTTATGGTTATATTATTTAGATTGAACAAAGAAAAGGAAAACATTGTGAAAGTGAGAGTAAGAGAGAAAATTTGTAATTAATATGTTTTCTAACTTTCTAAAATGTAATTTATTAAAAAGGTATTTAATAAAAAAAATTCATACCCAATTTTCCCTTAGTAACCATAACCGCTCCCGGAGAAACTGCTCAAATTATAGTTAGGTGTTATTTTTCCCTCAGATAGCGGTTAAATAGTTTTTCTCAAAATAGGATATTTTTTACAAAAATTTCTAAAGTACACATGTTTCACCCAGATCGCGGTTGACAAAAGAGATCAGCAAATAAATCGCTTCGGCAGAAGTGATTTAGTCTAGATTTCTTTCCGGAAGCGCGATCATAGCGGATCGCTGACGTGGCGAGCGATCATCCGTGGGATTGCGGTTCACGGAAGTGATCAATGGTACTCGCGTCCGAGCAATACGATTGGGCGTTAGAAGAAACACAGATCGCTGACGTGGATAGTGGTGTGCTTCTGGAGAGACGCGAATCGCCTAGCTGTTGGGCGATCAACCGTTGATTGCTTTCGACAGCCACGATCAAAGCGTTATCTCTCCTCTCGTCGCATGTTGATCGTTTCCAACATAAGCGATTTAGGCGCTCTGTCCAGCCTATAAATAAACCCCTCCCCCTCATTTCATTCACACCACAACACATTCTCCCCCCCTCCCCTATCTCATACCACTCAAGAAATACGGGTGTGCCTTGAGGTTGCGGCTAAGTCCGATCTTCAACATCATATTATGTTTTCTTGAGTTCTGAAAAAGTCTTGTCTCATTGTCCTGCTAAAGTCCCGTAAAAAAACCTGGTTGAACCTCTGTCCGTCTTTTGTAAAAAATGGACGAAGTGGCTCTTAGGGTATGTGATATATTTTATATCTTGGTGATTTATCAACGTGAATCATGGTGGTACGCTATAATACCAATGTCTTAGTAGAATAACCATGGTTAAACGTTATATTTATTTTCATGATTTGTTTAAAAATTAAATAATGTTATTTTCTTGTATTTAATGATAGAGATGGGGCAAATATTTATGATACTATATTGTATATCCAACCTGGTAGAGCGATACCCATTACTTAACCAAGAAGAAAAACACTGATCCCATGTCATTTGGAACAACAACCCGGTAGGCAATCTTTACCTTCAAAATAATATTTTTTAAATTATTTTAAAATGTTGCTATAAAACTTATTTTGTGCATTTTTCGTAAGAATCACTTGTTCCCGTGGTGCATAGAGTGACCGGGCGCATGCCCCAGTTTCACCATCGACTCACGCCCTATCTAAAAAAATGTGTGGTTGGAAAGGATGAGACACTTCAAGAAGATGGAGATTGACAACGAGCTACTCAAGGCAATGTGAGAGAGGTGGCATCCTAAGACACACACATTGCACTTTCCTGGGAAACCGCCTTTGAACGTGGGTCAAGTTTCAATCTCATGGCTCGTTGCTAGTATAACGATGGATGTTGAGTTGGATGCATTCACCCTAGAAGATCAAGTAGAACGATATGCGCACATTTATCTCATCACCTCCAAGTAGGCCATTGGTGTTCAAGTCGTCCATTACCGCCAACATCATCATCTCGAATTTGTGCATATCACCTGGATCCCCCCCCCCTTCCCGCTTTCTTAGTAAAATAATGCATTGTTCCTTGCAAATTAAGATGTTATTAGTTACATATGTGTTAGTAACAAAGCTTGATTGGTTATGATGGACAAGGTGGGACATGACGTGCTTGAGCCTGTTGGCTAAGCATTTAGCTGGCACTTTATATCTTAACATTACACAAGCTTATGGAAAAAATTGCTCTTTGGAGAAGGAGCTTCAATTTTGGGTATAAGGGCAAGAAGTGTCTCATTATAAATTCTGATATGATATAGTTCTCTGAATCAGGAAGTGAGAAAATCGGAGAAGTTACTTCCCACATGATCCTTGTAACACCTTAGGCAAATCCCACATCGACAAAGCATGGGAGAGATCCATGGTTCATAAGTAAGAAACCGACCTTAACTGACAATATGTGTTTTGGGGTGTAATAGAGGAGTTCTTGTGAGAACTCCAAAGTTAAGCGTGCTCAGTGTGGAGTACAACAAGGATGGGTGACCTTATGGAAAGTCACCTTGAATTGCACCCCAAGTCAAAAACCGTGAGGGTGTGGGCCCAAAGCGAACAATATATTCGTCGGGAAAAGGTTCGGGATGTTACAAGTGGTATCAAAGCCTCTCTGCGTCCCTCTTGAACGATGGTGGGGCAAACCTCAATGAGGGCGTTGAGTCCCAAGGGGAGGGGGGTATGTAAACCATATTATTATTATTAATTAACCCACGGTTGTAACTCTTTATACGTAATCGTTAATCCGACCGTTCACGTATTATGGTCGAACCTGAACCCAAAAGTCGGGGTGTTACAATCCCATCACTTTCGGAAAAAGATGGCTGAGAAACCATCTTTCCTAGGATGTTTGAGCTCATTCATATCCATGACAATGGATCTAACTTGTTCAGAGTTTGATAGAGTCCCAATTATGTTTACTAGGTGGTCGTCCATGACAGGGAATAGATGAAGGGCATTCCAATTTCCTCTTTCCTGGTCGTTCGTGTTAACAGAAACCCCTCTGTCCCTGGCTCCTCTCTGTCAATGAAAGCGCTTCAAAAATGTACCTCCTCCACGTCGTAGCAAGCTCATCAAAATTATCATCCAAGCACTATAAAGGAGATACAAAGAGTAACATAAATTATCGATCAAACTATCTCTTATTTCCCCCTTCGCCTCCTATCCTCAAGCTCTTACGTCAGTCACAAACTGAAACCTCTAAAACCCAACACCATGCCCTTGCCTTTCTTTTTCTCTTCCCAACTCTTAGGGGTCTTTTGTATGAATAATTTTACTATGTAAAATTTGGCCCCAAATCACTCATTTAAAAAACCAGATATTTAATACGTGGGATTTTGGGTAGATCTCTCTTTTCTGAATTGGATGAGGGTTTTCAAGCAAAGAAATTAAAAGATGATATTGCCCTCATCTTCTTCCTCAAAAAATTTCTCCCTCCACATTGTTCCTCGTTCTTGCTGGTCTTCATATTACTACTCCATGGAAACTAAAATTGGCCTTCCAAAAATCAATCGTGTCCTTCATCTAGCACCCCCACTCTTATTCTCTTTCAACAAGATTTGGGACAATTTCCTAGTCCAGATTCGTCTCCGAAACCCTAAATATATATGCAGATGATGGGCAATCCTAATCTTGTCTTGCACAATTCGTCTCACACCATGAAATCGTTATTCGTGGTAGGTCGAAGTTTTTTGAATGTTTTAGAATTGTCCAAATTCGTGAGGAATATACTAAACTTGGTGGTCAAGCTTGAAGAAATCCTAATGGACTTGGCAAGCGTGTTTCTAGCCTACTTTCCCTCCAAGAAAATATGTTAGAAGAGTTTATAAATAGACCCTTGGGGTCAAAAGTTTGGGGACAAGCTAGATAGAGGGTACTCTACCGACACAATTTCTCACCATACTAAGAACTCGACCAAACTCATATGGTAGATCGGCAGAGCAATTGGTGCCCTAGGTGCAGTTTCCTTAATGAATACTGATGTCCAGGTCATTCTGGGGGATCTCGTTTCACTTTATGTTCCCCTAGAGTCATGTCCCCAAGAGTGGCTAGTTCATTAGTAGTATAGGTTAGCGAACCCTAGAGGTTCTTTTGATATTGTAAAAAGTTAATTCTCGGTATATATATATATGAGTTTTTATTCATCTCTTTCTTACATTTGATTTCTATATTTGTGTTATTTTCAATGGATTGGGTGTTAAAGTGAAGCTACCATCTCACGTGATGTAGACTTTGAAATCTAATTTTGTATTGGATGTGACTAGATATGACCATCTTTCAGAATACATCATCAATCGATTGAGCAACGTGATACCTCAAGGGAGGAATCCATAGGGCGATACGAGCATGGATTCGGTCCGGTATTTATCAAAGTCGCAAAGCCACATTCCTTTTAGGGTTTTTAGATCTTCTATCAACAACACAAAAAACTAAAAGGATAAGACGGGATTGACGTGCAACCTCACACCTAGGAGAAGGCTCGAACAATATAAGGTATAAGTTAGACCACAATCAAGTGTGAATCTTGCAAAGCTATTATGGAATCTTCAACATAAAAGCTCAAACAAAGATATTGCACTAGCTATGGAATCCACCAATAGCGAAGAAAATA